AAAGTGAAAATGCATTAAGGCCTCTTTTAAAAATCATCATGCTCTCATTCATGCAATTCGCTCTAACTACCCATAATCCTCAGCTAGCCACCTGATCTCTGCTCGCATGTGACACATCAGATGAAGTTTTGGAACCAACAAATCAGGCTGGAAATAATAGTTTGCTGTCTACAACCAGGTGTAGATTGTCTTAAGGAGAATTCATTTTTATTTCTTGCAATCTGCATGCCCAGTCCTGAAAGAGGTATTTTCTTTTCAATATCCTACAGGCACAAAGCAAGAATTTTAAAGAAAACCACTACCACATTATTAGGACCAGAACAAATCTGAGATTCAAACAACAACTTGCTTGAATCCAAAGCCCTGCATTCTCTTCTTCAACATAGCACAAGTTCAGCACTCTCTGAGGCTGAGGAGGGAGGATCATGAGTTGGAGTCCAGATTGGGTAATGTAGCAAGACCTTGCCTCAAAGCAAAAAATAAAATAGGACTGGGGATTTAGCCCAGTGTGAAGCCTCTTGGTTCAATCCCTAGTACCATAAAAATAAAATTTTTAAAAACTATGAAAGTGTCAAGTGTCAGCCTCTTCCCTGCCACCAGACACACTTCTGAGCAGGTCTTGTCTCTTTAGGTCACCTCTGCCTCTGAAAACTGGAGTGAGAAAAGCCGGGTACAGGCCATCGTCACCCCCCTATGGCACTCCCCCAGAGCTGAGCCTGTCACCATCTTGCTGAAGTAACTGCCCTCCCATGTCCCTCCTGTGTTTCTTGTGGGTGCTGCCCATCCAGCCTTTCCGTCTACAGCCCAGTTAGACACCAACTTGGGCCTGAGCTTCAAGTTTTCACTCTTTCTTTTGTCTGCTTACCTATTGGTGGGCAGGTAGGATGGTTCTTGGTTTGACCTTGATTTGTCTCATTGACTTCTCACAAGGTCTTCTCACTTAGACTATGTCTTTCCAGAATGCCAAACTAATGGAACTGGAACACTTCCTATTTACAGAGTGTGTGAATTCATACTTATGCATGTGTTAATACAGACATAGGCTTGTATAATCGTACACAGTTTATGTAAGAGATACATATGTGTACTGAATGAAAGGACACCCAAAGCAGTTTATAACATCAAGCGGCTTATGTCTCACCTCTCTTGTTATAAAGCACATTTCCTGCCCATTGTCCATTGTAAGGTAATGATACACGTTTCATCCCATATGGACCTGAGATACTAAATTATTTACTCAATGACACAAAGATAACTGATGGCCCTCAACTTAAGCCTTTTGATTCCAAGCTTCCTCCTTGTGGAAAATAATCTGCAGCATTTAGGACCAATGTAATTAACTGTCCAGGGAAATTGACTCAGATGTATTTGTGAAACATTCAGGGCCTGATAATGAATTTTAAAGACCAGATACAAGAAGCAAAAAGACAAGCATTGCACTGCAGGTAGAAAGTTGTTAATTCTTCTCTGAAATGCAAGTCAACAAATCAGTGTTTTTGAAAAGTTCTAAGTGTTTCTTGACTTGGGGGTTTGTTTTCCAAACTGGCTATTACATGCAATTAAAAGTGAAGTATTAACAGACCTAGGGCACTAGAAATATTTACAAGAGTGTGTGCAGGCGTAACACATTCTATCTCACTGACATGCAATAATTTCCACACTTCTTTCTTCAACAGCACGGCCGAGTACCAAATTGACCTCTGAAGCAATTTATTTCAGAAAGTATAGATAATGGTGTAAGGTTGTTGCAGAACTGAGTGTGTGGTTATGAGAAAAGCTGTCAGCAGGGTTCAGAGAACGGCCAAGATTGCTGTGATCTGAAACAGAAGTCAGCAAGCAATAATCCTCAGTGTAAACCTAGCCTCTGCATGCTTTTGAAGATAAATCTTATCAGAAAAAGCCACACTCATTCATGTACTTTCTATGGATGCTTCCATGCTGGGACAGAGTGCAGTGATTGCAACAGAGATGGATTTAGGGCCACAGAGTCTGGTATCTACTATCTGATCTTTTTGAGACGCTATAACTTTCTCATTGTTGAGACACAACACCTGACTCCCACCACACAAGAAAGGAGAGGTTTTAATTTCTCACGGTTTCAGGGGATTGTGTCCATAGGTGGCCAGCTCCAAAGCAGAGCTATCATGGAGGAAAGGCACCGGGCAAGAAAGCTGCTCAGTGCATGGTAGCTGGGACACAGAGCCAGGGAGTAGTGCCAGAAAGGAAGGGTGAGGTTCCCAAGGACGTCCCTTATGACCCAGCCAACACACCCAGGAACAAGTTTCCCTAATCTGCTGGGTGTTTCCTGAGCCAGTTAAGCTGATGAAGCAGGATTATCCATCCTACTAGATGAAGGTTTATAACTGGTAGTGTGGAGCCATGGCAGATCCGAGGCAATGTGAAGAGCCACGTCGAGGTCACCCGTACAGATGTGGTAGGGGTATGACTCAGACAGCTTGGAGTGAGGTTATGGGAAAAGCAGAGGTCTCTCCATAGACTGAGAGCAGAAATGGTCAAAGGATGATACAAGTCTTTCTTGTTTTAAATGGGACACTGATGTTAGGAATTGAAGCACGTAAATGTGCAATGTGTCAATATGTGATTTGGAAGCCCTTTATGCCAGGTTAATTTAATCTGGCTTCTCCCGGAAGAGCTTCATGGCAAACCACTAACATGTAACCCAACTATATCTCAGTGTCCTGCTGTCTCACTTTTGAGTATTTTAAAGATTATACTTCAGGAAGAAAATAAATTTAAAAACTAAAACTAAAAGGAAAGGAAATAAGGGAAAAGAAAAAATATGAGAAAATGAAAAAATGGAAAGTTTTTGTAGATGGGGAAGGGAGGGCAAGGTATAGGGAAAAAATGAGAACCAAGACCTGTCATGTAAAGGTACAAGTTCCCAATGATGAATGTAACTGTACTGTACACCTAAAATGTATCAAAAAAAACTATAACTAAGGGAATTCCATTTTGAACCTTTCTAAGATTACTAAAGGGAATTCCATTTGCAATAAAGCCACATTTCTAATTCTTCTTTCCTTTCTTCTTCTACTTTCTTGCCTCCTGTTCTGTTTAGATCTGAAACATCTCCCAAAAGTCTCATTGTGCAGGGGTGGGGCTTTCAAAAGGTCGCTGGATCCCCAGAGCTCCGATCCTATCCATCAGGGGTCAGTGCGGGAATCCACTGATGGGATCATAACTTGGTGGTGCTGTTGGGAAATAATGAAAACCTACAGGTGGGCCTCACCAAAGAAGGGAGCTACAGGGCATGGCCTTGCACACTGCACCTTGTCCTGGCTTCTTATTCTATGCCCCCGCCCCTCGGATCCCTGGTTCCCCTGGCTTGAGCAGTTTTCCTGTACCACACCTGCTGACGCTTCTGGCTCCCAACCGGCCTATAGCACTGGCGTCAGCTGAGCAGGATTGAAATCTGTGACACTCTGAGCCAGGAGAAATCTTCCATTCAGTTCATCTTAGGAATTTTGCTACAGCCCCCAAAAGCTAACGCAGCTCTTATACTTTCTCCCTGTCCCTAACTTTTCATTTTCTGCCCTCCTCCCCAGTTTTCAAAACGCTTGGGCATCTCCCCTGAACGTCCCTGCTCTCATTTCCCCAACTCTGCTTCCCGCCTCAGTGGTTGTTCCCTCCCCTGCCCATCCACCAGTGCTGTTTATAAAATCTTGGGCTGCTAGAAAAGTAACCGAGTTACGGCAGGAACTCGAAAATGTCTTAAGCCACTGGATGTTTGGGGAGTCTTGTTAAACCTATCGACCCTGCTTCAACACAATGTTTCTAAATACCTAAAATAAACTGCATAAGACTTGAGCAGAAGCAGACCATAAGGAAATATAGCTATTTACATATTTTAAAATTAATTATGTTCTAGTAAATATGTTCTTATTAACACATTTAATAATAAGACCTAATAAGAGGACGAGTCGTTCCTATACTTACAGAGTGAGGATTAGTATAAATGGTATTTTGAGATCCATATAATCAGAATATGATATATCAATAGATTTAATTTCTCTCAGTGAAAAACTGGCTCATAGCTGCAAATGTTCATAACTGGAAATGCTACATTTTAATTTGAGTTAGGTGAAAACCATGGTGGAGTTTTTATCATATGTTTAGATCTATGTTTATAAAAGCCTTATTTAGGAGGAACTAAAGTAAAGATAGAAATCTTTTTACAAGTAGAAAAAATGAGAGAAACATTATATGTGAATTGTTAGTCACTAAAATTTTTGAGTACAGGTATAAATTAATGACAATCAGGCTTATAAAAATGCACCTGACAGATTCATATAAAATGTGTTGAGGAATGGGATATGTAAATAAACTAGTTTTCAGATGGTTTGGCAATAGTACATCAGGTAAACAACATAAGTTACATTGGATTTGGAACTAAGCCAACAGATATTACTTGAACTTAGGAAGTATTTTGTTTAATTAACATTCCCAAACCAAAGGTAGAAAATGATTAAGAAAATGTTTCCAGAAAATATTGAATACTTTTTCACAAAAGCTTATTCCCAAACCCTCCAAGTTGTCTGAGCTGTCGAACCACATACAGCAAGAGAAACTAGTAAAAACATAAGAAATCTAGTGCTTTGAAGTTATTCAATAGGAGATTGCTGGAAAATTCTCCCCAGGTAGAGGGATTTTGAAAAATGGCTTAACTGTATGTCACGAAAAAAGTATTAGGCTTGGAGTTTACATTTCCACTCTAGTTTGTTAACACTGCATCCTTTGACTCCTTTAAGCACCAGGGTTTTTCATGTACAAAATGAGAATGTCAATTCTAGCTTTCCCCCAGGACAGGGGAGGGAATAATTACTCCACATGTGCAAAAGCACCAGTCGTGGTACAGAACACATTGTCACTGTTTAGTACGTGTTTACTGTAGTTCCCAAATAAGAGTGCACTAGGTCTACAGACTGAGATGCTATCATTTAAAATCATCTTCAAATGAAAGATCGCCCACGTCCCCTTTTCTTCTTACATAAATCATGTGTTTGTTGTCCTAAAAAGAAAGCTATAATTTGGCTCCCTGTAAAATTTCCTTGATCTCAAGACAATATTGAGCCTACACTTCAGTGCTGAGAGTATTAGAAAGTTGAATGTCTAAATAGGGTACTTTGAAAGAATTTTTAATGCATTGTGTACTCCCATCTTATTGCCTTGGAACAAAATAATTATACTCTTCTGAGGACGAGGTTTCCGTGTACCAAGCCAGCATTTCTGAAGCTGTGTCATTGCTAAGAAGACAGAGGTTGGTGTTATGAAATGCAGTTTCACCTTGTTCTCTTGCTAACAAAAGCAATGATTAAAGTAAAGAGTTCAAGTTCCCTGCAGTAGCTAGTGATGCCACACAGGCAGCGGGGAGGTCTTTGCCTTGCGAAGTACACAGAATCCATTTAAAGATGCTCGATTTTATCTGGAAAAACGAAAAGAACCAGTAGCTCTAACACCTGATGATAACACCCCCCCCCCAGTGAGGCAGGGAGGAGGCACAAGCAGCATTGAAGACACTTCCAGTAGACCTGCGTCTTAACGATTGATCCTTTCCACAAGCGGCCTGCAGCTCAGCCTGAGCAGGAGTGCCCGCCACGGACCTTGCCTGGCCTGACGCACTTTTGCAGTTGATCTGGCTCACGTTGGCTTCTCTAAGCCTTCTGTTACCTGATGTCTTTTAGCTTCTACTTCAGAAAGTTGTCAGCAGCTCCTGCTGTCTCTGTCTTGTCCTGAGTGGGACAGAGCCACACAAAATAAGTGCTTAGGCCAAAATGCAAAAGCAATTCTGCTTTTCTCGGCCCCTCTTGGACACCCCTCATTCTCTATTCCAGTGCTTCCCTATATTTGCAGGAGAAGCTTGCACACCAGGCCCGCTCAACCCTTTGGGCCTTTTCTCCACAAAACCACATCAGATTCTGTCCTTGGATTTTACCCATTCCCGAGTTCCTCTCTTCCCTGCTGTAGATTTTTTTAAAGATTGCTCTTCACTCAGCCCTCACGACCAGCTACTTACCGCTTCTCTGCACCTCCTTTTCCTCATGTGTTTCCAGAGCCTCCTCCTGCTCATCTGTAGCCCACACACTGACATAGAAACAGCGCTATTTTTTTCCGCTCCCAAAAGTTTGCATAATTGCAAGAGCTGTGTGTGGGAGCTGGGGAACTGTGCTGCCACACGAGGAAAGGCAGGGGCGATTTCTGTCATTTCGTTACCTCTTAGGATCACAGGATTGCACCTGGCAGAAAGGGGCCTCAGAGGAGACATAAGACAGAGGCCAGAGTTGAATGCTTTTGGATCCAGGTGGGCAGAATTCTTATGCAATGTGGTTATTTGTAAGACGGTGAGGTAGCGGAGCCTCTGATGAAATTAATTAAACACTGGGGTATCCAGGCACAGCCTGCAAAGGAGCCAGACCCAACCCTCAGGGACGCCAGTTCTGGGGCCACAGCCAGTCAAAGTGCCCTCTTTCCACTCGACCTCTCACAGGATGGCATCCACCAGAAGACCTTTGACAACAAAGTGCTAATGCTGCACCAGGGCCGAGCGAGGCTGCACCTCCACACACAACATCCAAAGAAAGGCTGGCCCTGCAGTGTGCTCCTGAGGCATAATCATTTCAGTTCTCGAGACACAGTCACAGTGAAGGTCTCGGTCATCTTGGGTTTTCATCTACCACAAAAACCTCCTAGCAGATGCCTCAACCTCCCGAACTCTGCCACTCACAGCCACCCCATCATCCTTAAATATATTGTTATCATTTTGTTTCCTTGCCTCAAATCCTTCAGGGACTTCAGTCATCCCTCGTGCTAGTTCTGAATTCTCGGTAATGAGGAGTCTCTTTATTAGCACATTCTCTCTGCAAAGACATCCCTTAGCACTTGCTATCGCTGAGGCTCATCTTTCCTGAGCAGTAAGTTCACTCATTACCCCAGACACCAGCCCAGGCACTGAAGCTCAGGGAACAGTTTCTTCCCTCTTCTCATGGGAATGCCTTTGCTCTTCCCTTTACATAAAAATATGCCCCTTGCTCCTTCAAAACGTCATTCCACACTCAAGAGCCCACAGAAGAAAGAGCAGAAAACGCGCAAAGATGTTTGTCCTATCAGGCATCTCATGTCATCTCGGCATTTCTAGATCTTCAGAGATGCCCGTGTCAGGGTCATTGTGCACACAGTGGCTTGGATTATACAGCTCATGCGATGTCATTGTGGCTCAATGTTCAGAAACTGGAGCCGGGCTGGCTTCCTATCTGTATCCCTGACTGGCTGTGTAGCTTTAGGTTAATTATTTGAATCACTTAATTTTAAAACTTTGTCATTTGCAAGATAAAAAGGGTGTCACGACATTTGCCCATGCAGCACACATTGGTTGTGTGCCACGATGTTAGCAGGACTGATGGTACCACAGTGGAAATGAGAGACAAAAACAGCTAAACTCGTGGAGCTTGCGGCTCGTGGGAAGAGTAACTGGGATAACCAACCTGCCGGCGCTGCTCTTCACATAGTAAGTAGCAGGGAATGTGAGTCACAGACAACTTTTTACATTCAAGATAGTGCAGTAACTTGTGGGTGCTCCTCCCTCTTCCTTAGCCATTTCCTAACTCACCCACGGAGCATGTGCTCAGAGGCCGGGACACCTGGGCATCCCTGACTCCACCCGCTTGGACAAAGTTCTGTACAGAAGCAGAAACACAATGCTGATGATGAGAAGATGACAATACATGACTGCAGGGTACACTGCAGGTGCCATGGCCCTTTCAGTGTGTGGCTGCAGTACCCACTTGTGGGCACTGGGATGTAACCACTCTACCTGGGAGATTCCCAAGAACCAGGGAGGCCAAGGACTTGGCACGAGCAGGATGGACTAAGGGACCCCAAGTCCACCCCAAATGGCATTCTCAGCATCAATTCTCACAGATCTTTCAGGCCTACAGCAGTGGGGACCCCATGGTCACTTACAGGGCTTTGAGTACTGGGTGTACAGGAATCTATGGGACACACGGAAAGCAGTTCTATACGGGAAATTCATAGTGGTGAATGCCCACACTGGATACTGAGCAACCTTAAATAAACAACCTAAATGCTGAGTCTTAAGCTCCTAGAAAAAGAAGACAAACCCAAGGTTTTTACAAGGGAGGAAATTACAAAGATCAGAGCAGACATCAGTGCATTGGAAACTAAGAGAACAATACAAAAAAAAATCAATGAATCTAAGAGTTGGTGTTTTGAACGAATAAATAAAATTGATAAAACCATAGCCAATCTAATAAGAAAAAAGAAACACTCAAACCCATGCAATTACAAACAAAAAAGGTGAAGACACAACAGATCCAGCAGAAATCCAGATGATCAACAATTCCTACATTGAGAAGCTGTACCCTAATAAATTGGAAAACACAGAAGAAATGGACAGATTTCTGGATACATATAATTGATAATGTAATTAAAATTTTACCAACAAAGAAAATCCCAGGTCTTGATGGCTTCACTGCTGAATTCTACAAGACATTTAGAGAAGATCTATTGAAACCACTCTTTAAACTTTTCAATGAAATTGAAAGGGAAGTAATACTTTCAAATTGATTCCTGGAAGCAAGTATTACTTTAATTCCAAAATCAGGTAAAGACCCACCCAAACAAGAGGACTACAAGCCAATCTCCCTAATGAACATAGATACAAAAATCCTCCGTAAGATACTGGCAAACAGAATACAGAAGATCATCCAGAAGATCATACACCCTGAGCGAGTCAGATTTATCCCAGGGATGCAAGGATGGTTCAACATACACAAATCAATAAATGTAATACACTACATTAACAGAGTCAAGGACAAAAACCATACGATCATCTCAATAGATACAGAAAACATATTCAACAAAATCCAACAGCCATTCATGAAAAATGCCCTGCAGAAAATTGGAATAGATGGTCTTTATCTCAACTTGATATATGATACCTATGAAAAACAAATAGCCAACTATCATACTAAACTGTCAAAAACTGAAAAACTTCACACTAAAATCAGGAACAAGATGAGGATATCCACTATCACCACTCTTATTCAATATAGTTTTGGAAACATTAGCTGCAGCAATTAGATAAGAGAAAGTAATAAAAGGAATAAGAAAGGAAGAAGTGAAACTGCCATTCTAGGCAACAGAGACATGGAAGGTGATGTCACAATCCCCAATTTAAAACTGTACTACAAAGCCACTGTGATAAAAACAGCATGGTACTGGCAAAGTAACAGACCTGAGTATCCGTGGAATAGACTGGAATATACAGAAACAACTCCAGATGTACTCAGCTCCCATCTCTGGAGGAAGGGCACCCTCTTTAATAAATGGTGTTAGAAAAACTGATTTCAACCTGCAAAGATTAAAACTAGACCCCTATCTTTCACCATGTGCTAAACTAAAATCAAAGTGGATTAAAGATCTAAATATTAAAACCAAAACACTAAACTTGCCGGGAGATAGGTCAAACTCTTAAAGACAGTAGCATAGGACAAGATTGTATGAACAAATCCTCAGTAGCATGGGAACTAGCACAAAGAATCAACAACTGGGATCTTATCTTATTAAAAAGCTTCTGCCCCGAAAGAGAAATCACCAACAGAGGTAAGAGACAACCTACAAAGTGAAAAAAATATTTTTACCAGCTTTTCATCAAACAAAGGTCTACAATCTAGAATACATAAAGTACTTAAAAAGACCCCCCAAATATAAAGACCCAATTCAAAAACAGGCATCTGAAATGAACAGATAGTTCTCAGACAAAGAAGTGAAAGTGCAAATAAACATAGAAAAAATGTTCAACTTCACTGGTCATTCGAGAGATGCAGATGAAAACAACACTGAGATTTCACTTCACCCCACAAAGAATGACTGCTATCAAGAAATCACACAACAACAAATGTTGGTGCGGTTGTGGGGAGAAAGGAACCCTTCTCCATTGTTGGTGGCAGTGCAGACTGGTGCAAATGCTGTGGAAATCAATATGGAGATACCTCCTAGGATTAGAGCTCCTGTTTTATCAATGAGCAGTGCATGGTAGTGTATATCTGTAATCCAAGCACTCTGGGAAGCTGAGGCAGGAGGATCACAAGCTCAAGCCTACCCTGGGCAACTTAGTGACTTAGTGACACTTTGTTTTAGAGAAAAGGCCCCCCAGTACCACAGAAAAGATCAACACATATCAGTTGAGCTGCTGTAAAGGTTCCAGCGAGAATATGGGTGACCTCACATATTTAAATCAATAATCTGAGTTGTCCGAATTCTTGGATCATTTTCTCTCTACCACTTCCCTCCCTTGGACTCATTTATTGCAAATGAAATCCGAAGAAGACAACCAAAGAAAACAGGAAAATGTTGCATGAACATCAGGGGCAATCGAGGATTCTGACAAAGGAAGAGCAGATTTTAACCACAGCAAACATTTACTCATGAAAGTGTAAGTATCAACATTCTGAAAGTATTTTAAAAGCCATCACTACCTAAAATGTGACAAAACAATGTCCACCCCAGAGCCCAGAAGTCATCACTTGTCACGTGACAGCCCTGAAGCTCAGACTTGGATGTCACCTTCCCAGGCACAAAGTTTCATCTTTGTGCAAGCCTCTTGGCTCCACTTCTTGCCTCAGTGTAGGCTAAGCAACTATAGAATTCACTGCAGTCTAGGAATTAAATTCTTTTCCCTTTTGGGGGAAAAAAAAACACAGAAAGAAACAAC